CATTCTCCTCTCGGGATCTTGGGCACACACGCACACACGCCCGGCGTGAGTTTTAAGCCACCAGGTCTGGGACACGAACCGCGGTCGACTACGTGGGAGTCCAGCAACATAGCCATTACGCTAACTGCTGGTTCCCCCTCATTGTGGTTTTGATCTGCATCTTCCTTACAATGAGGGATGTTGAGTATTTTTTCATATGCTTTTTGGCTGTTCATATATCTTCCTTAGAGAGTTTTTTGTTCAGCTCCTTTTCCCATCTTTTAATTAAGTTAATCATTTTCTTCTGGGTAAGCTGCTTGACTTCCTTATGTATTCTGGTTATCAGTCCCTTATCTGAGGCACAGTTAACAAAAATTCTCTTCCATTCCAAGGATTGTCGATTCACACTAATTACAGTGTTCTTTGCTGTGCATAAACCCCTTAATCTGATGTAATCCCACCTGTCTATTTGGAGGATTATTGCCTGTGCTTTGGGGGTTTTGCTTAAGAAGTCTATGCCTACCCCAATGTCTCCCAGAGTTTCCCCAGTGTTTTCCACCAGTAGTTTTATAGTTTGCAGTCTTAGGTTAAGATCTTTGATCCACTTTGAGTTGATTTTTTGTTGGTGACAGATAGGGGTTCAGACTCATCTTTGTGCAGGTGGATATTCAGTTTTTCCAGCACCATTTGCTAAAGAGGTTTTCCTTTTCCCCCGGTATTGACTGGTACCCTTTGTCAAAGATGAATTGGCTGTATGTTTTGGGGTTTGCAAACACATCTTTAAACCCTTGCTGCCCATCTGCTCCCACCCACATTCTATTGGCCAACATCTAAAATTAACATTTGAAACTGAAATACAATGGGTGTTACATATGTGATTTTAGATGTTCTAGCAGGCATATTTTAAAATGCAAAGAAACAGGTGAGCTCATGAAAAGATGCTCAACATCATTAATCATCAGGGGAATGCAAGTCAAAACCACAATACCACTTCACACCTAATAAGATGAACGTTATTAAATAATAATAAAATAACAGAAAATGGTTAGTGTTGGTGAGGATGTGGAGGCACTGGAACCCTTGTGCATTGCTGGTAGAAATGTAAAACAGAGCTGCTACTGTGGAAAGCAACATGGCAGTTCTCGAAACAGTAAATGGAAAATTGTGATCTGATCCAGGATTTCCACTTCTGAGCTTACACCAGAAGAATTGAAAGCAAGAATTTCAACATCTGTGTTCATGGCAGCATTGTTCACAATAGCCAGAAAGGTGGAAGTGACCCAAGTGTCCATCAACACACAAAGCAGATAAACAAAAGAGGTATAGTCACACAACAGAATATTATTCAGCCTTTAATAAAGAAAGAAAATTCTGACTCATGTTACAAAGAGTATATGAATTTAAAAATCATTATGGTAAGTGAAACAGGCTAGACACAAATGAGCAAGTATTGCATGATCCCACTCATCCGAGGGACCTAGAGTGGGCAAATCCATAGAAATAGAAAGGAGAAGGTGGTTGCCAGGAAGCACAGGAAAGAGAATGGGGAGCCAATGTTTAATGATTTCAGAGTTTTGGTTCTACAGGGTAAAAAGAGTTCTGGATGGGGCCAGCAGGTGGTGTGGTGGTTAAGGTGCTGGGACTCCACAGTTCAAATCCCAGATCCAGTGCTTGAAAAACCTATCAGGCACGTGTGCAAGCATGCCCAAAATCCTAAGAGGAGAATGAATGAGAAAGGACTACAATGTGGCCATTCCTCATGGGAGGACATTTCTTAGCCCCCTCTCTCCTCCCGTCTCTCTCCAGTGTGTCGTATTGCAAAAATCTTTAGGAAAAAAAAAAGTTCTGGAGATGGGTGATGATGATGTTTGTACAAAAATGTGAATGTAATGAACATCACTGAACCTCACACTTAAACATGGTCAAAATGAGGGCTGGTACATAGCACAGTGGTTAGGGAATCTAACCACATAGTTGAACACAGTTCAAATACCAATCTTGGCAACTTGAAAAATACACTGGGCATGTACGTATGTGTGCCCAATCCTAATGGGATGGAGAAATGAAGGATAAGGGATTGTGGTGTGACGACACTCCAGTGAGGGTTGCTTTCTCCTCCCCTTTCTCTATCTGGGGATAATAATTTTTTAAAAAAAACAAAGCTCTAAATTGTCATTTCTTTTTTATTTATTATACTATGCTCTTTATTTTTGTGTATTTATTAGAATTTATTGGAATTTCCATAATAAATGGGGACCAGCAGGTGGCCTGGTTGCTAAGGCACTGGACATTCCCACATGACCAACCACAGTTCAAGTCCCAGACCTAGTGGCTTGCTTTCTCACTTTCCCTCTCTCTCTTTCTCTCTCTCTTGTCAAATTAAAATAAAATGAATGAGTAAATAAAATTAAATACATAATTCTAAAAAAAGAGAGAATTTTCATAATAAATTTTGGGGAGGGAGAGGTTTTTGTTATAGGGCACATGCAGCTGGCGGAAAGACAGAGAGACAAGAGAGCGAGAAATCACCCCCCTGGGGGGGATGACCATGCCTCAATCCCTTCTCCTCTGTTCTCCTCTCAGGATCTTGAGCACACACGCACACGTGCCCAGCATGAGTTTAAGCACTGGGTCCGGGATTCAAACCACTGTTGACTACATGGGAGTTCAGTGACATAACCATTATGCCAACTGCTGGTCCCAATAATAAAATGTTTTAAAATGAATTTTCTTTTGTTATGTTATCACTATAAAACATTAACCACTTTCTGCCACTATGCCTTCCCAATCATCAGAAAAGATGTGACACACAGCTCGGCTACCTAAATGGTAAATTCTTAATATATAGTTTATTACAAACAAACAAAAACAGGTTCAGGCCAGTTAGTGGCATGATGGCTAAGGTGGCTGGATTCCACATGGCCCACTGTGTCGCCCAAGTCCTGAACCCACCACCTTGTAAAACACACTGGGCCTGTGTGAGTGCATGCCCAGAATCCTGAAAGGAGGGAGAGATGAGGAGAAGGGATTGCGGCATGACCGTGCCTCACAGGGGGTACTTGTCCTTATCTCTGTCTGTCTCTGGGGAGTCCACAAGCCCTCCAGCAAATTAAAATAATTAATTAAAAATAAACAGGTGAGGGACCAGCAGATGGCATAATGGTTACATCACTGGACTCCTACATGTCCAACCACAGTTCAAGTCCCAGACCCAGCGGCTTGAAACTCACAC